TCTGCACCTTTGCCTCAGAGCACATTGGCTCAGCTGGTCATTCAGCAGCAACACCAACAATTCTTGGAGAAGCAGAAGCAATACCAGCAGCAGATCCACATGAACAAAGTAAGCCCCCAAGCCAAGTCAAAATGTCATAACCACTGGTGTGGAAACTATCATTACATTCATGAGACATGTAGCAAAATTGAAATTATGTATCAATGAGATCTTTCATGTTTGAGTACCTATTTTAATACACAAAACCATACAGACACATGCATGTAGAGCCCTATTCTTTAATATTGAAGAAAAGGGTTGAGGCAGAGTCGAATGTGGAGTATTGACGCTTCAAAAAGTTTGTGCAGGTGCTAGGAGAAATAGCACGCATAGTTAATAAGGCATTTCTTGGTGACTTGTATGCATCCATTTTGTATTTATTTTTTTGGTATTCCCACTTCATTCCAAGAAGTGTCTGAAGCAGTTTCTTGGAAATTGTGATCATTTCTTTCTGGCAGCCTTATTGTGGCTGAAATGGGCAGTGGATATCAATACCACATCACATCCTTAGGAATTCTCCTGCTGAGGTAGCCACAAAGAAACAGTGATTACAATATAATGATAACAGACAGGACAGTAAAGCATTTTCAATGAATAGATGAGTGAAATGATATTAAGGTGTACAGTTTTGCCACCACTCTCAGGTATGGTAGGTTTACAACAGAAGAATCTTCGCATTCCTGGAATATGTTGAAGTCCTGAACATAAAGACTCCATTCCTTCTCCTTTGTATTATATCACCTAAAAGTATCTCATAGAGGCATAGGAAGCATTACATTGATAAATGATGTCCTATTTACTGCTAAAAACTGCTTAGGCAATTAAATGCTTTATTATATTGTGGTGTTTAAAAAAAAAAACACCTCATAGACAAAATGTTTATCTTTCTAATGGCAGTGGAGAAGGGGTGTCATCATGTGTTTAGCTTATTGCAGGTAGGGCTGGAGTTTTTCTGTGCTTTCTGACCTCTATCTTAACAAAGACAGAGCTGTGAAGAGAATATAGGCTAAAGACCACCACTTCTGACCAGAAATTCTTCCAGCCCAGTCCTCTGCTGCTCTTAAGGTTGTGTGTGAGGGAATGGGGGAGGGGAGACTGGCAGGGGCAGTTGACCCTCCTGCATCTTTAACCTGGTCACCATACATGGCAGATACTTTCAGTGTCATCAGGTTGACATCTGTTCTATTGCTACACTATTTCTCTAAATACATCAAATTATTTGTAAACATATCAGTCATGGGGGAGAACTAACATTCATCTCTGTATAATGACATAACTCATTGACTTGAAAATGACTTTATGTATATTTGTTATATTGTGATAGAGTTAGGTTTGTTTGTTCTGTGGTCTCTTACCACAGCTTAAGCTTACCAGATATTCTTTGAAAATTGTCTAGCATCCATTGAGAGAAATTTATGCTTAAGTAAGGATTGGGAATCTTACCTCTCACCTCATAATGTATTGGTCTGGAATTAGATTCATTTATAAAATCAGTATTGGATTGTAGATATTCTTTCTGTTCTTGGTTCTGTTTCCTAGAAATATGTGGATGTGCATATTCTACTAACTAGGTAAATGGATTCCTTTGAAATTGTAGTCTAAAAATGATTCTTAGGAATTTCTTTAAATGCATTTTGTAAGACCTAGAGTTACCACTGTTTCAGATTCAGATGATGTGCTACTATCAGAATTTTGTTTTTATCACACTTGAGATTTTGACAAGCAGATGCTAACCCCAGTCACATGGAAGAAACTAAGATGAAAAGCAGGCATTTGCATTTTAGCAACAAGAAAAGCAAATCTTATCAGGGACATTCTCCAATGTGGAGCTGATTCCTTGGAATCTGTTAAGAATTTCCCCTAAAATCAGAAACAAACGTGTACTTTTAGGTACATGTTTGTACAGTGGTTTGATTATTAAATCTTGTCCTAATTAGACAAAATGAAGACCAGAAAACTTCAAAGTGCAGAGCTGATCTTTATATGTTAACCCCTCTCAGCTTGGGTGTTTAGATTACTCAAGTAGGTCTCCAGTTGGCTTTTCTTCAAGTATGGATTCCATATGTTTAATCAAGATGGCATACGCGTATTGGGTATTCTCCAAATTTTGAAAATATTTCACCTGCCCTCAATTGTTTAAGAGAACAGAGAAGAATCTTATTAAAGAAAATATTGAACCTCTATCCTATTCTAAAGTATTTACAATAGAAATATCAAAAAGTGAATTGCTGCTGTTCAGCCTTCTCCATGGGGTGATGAAGACTATTATTTCACATTGGCTTAGGGTCATGACTTAGATGCCAAAAGCTAACAGGTTTCTGTATAATACAGTGAAGCTTGTAAGAGCTGGAACTCGACTGGACAGCCTTGTTTTACTGGGTCTCACAACTTTTCTGCCTTTAACAGCGTGCAGTTTTACCCCTTTTCTATTGCCCATTTTAGTGGAAAATTTTTGAGTTTTCCTTCTCTGACAGGTTTCCACCTTACACAGGTTCTGGCTTTTACAGGTTTTACTGTAATATATTTGTGTGTATTCTCTCTGAAACCCTGGTGACATAGTGGTTAAGTGCTATAGCTGCTAACCAAAAGGTTGGCAGTTCAAATCCACCAGAAGCCCCTTGGAAACCCTATGGGGCAATTCTACTCTGTCCTATCGCTATGAGTCGGAATTGACTCCACAGCAACAGGTTTGGTTTTAGGTTTTCTCTCTAACTATTAAATACCCTTTGAGGAAAAAAACACAGAAACTGTAATTTTGGTCATTTTCCAATTTCAATGGATGAACCTTATTGAATCCATTCAAACTGGAGCCAGATTGGTGGCATAATAAAAACATGGTCCTTATTCTTGAGAAATTTATTATATCAGGAAACATAGGCATACATGAAGACATAGCTGTGTGAATTACATTTAAAATGTATTTTTATATCTCAACTTTTTTATGGTTCTTTTTTTGAGGAATTTAGGGAAGCAAAAAAACAAAAGAAAAAAAAGGATTTATCTCTAACGTCCGACCAAATATAATTGACCTTCCTGGTATGAAATTTGTAATGGTGTGTTTGAATTGCTAATAATCTTTAGAAGAATTAGAAGCAAACCTGTACTTTTAGGAGCATGGTTTACCCAATGATTAACTTATTAAAATTTGAGAGCTTCCTCATATCTTAGTATTATTTTAACACATTTATGAGAGCAGTCATTCATGCCTGTTATAACTACACAATGTAAATGTTATTTCTCATACTATATAATTTACCTACCTGTTGCCTGACACTTTAATGACAGTTTTATAGGAAATTTGTATATATTAAGAAGTATTTGCCTCATATACTGTAGGCTCTCAAGTCCTTAACAATGAGTTTATCTAGTATTCGTATTGTTATACCTGCCAGTAAACAAAGGGGAAAGTAGAAGAGCCAGTGCTGAGCTGGAGAGGAAATACTGTCAGAATGATTTATCTCTGCTCATCAGTTAGAATATTCTGTTTCCACCAATGTTTCGAGCAGTTTAACCATAAGAAAATCATGGCTTTAAACATTTGTCTCTTGGTTTTTGAGACATTTTTAAAACTCAGAAATTTATTACACAATTTCTGTTGCTAATATGGGTAAGTCCATGTGATGATAACTTAGATTTTTGTGAACCTTTTCAAAAACTCAAGAGTTTCCTTATACTGACATCAAAAGAAGACTTCTTTTGCCAATATATTTTGTTGTTCTTGTTGGAAGAAAAAAGGATTTCTAAAGTAAAAGTTTCCCCATAAATACAAAATAGCAAAGAAAAAAATAATAGGGTACTGGTAATGGTAATTTTCTCTGGAGCCCACTTTAAGTTTAAATATTGCCACAGATTTCTTTTTTTCTTGGTGAAACAAAACTTTAATTGATGAAAACAAAACACACCACATAGTTTCTTGGACATTTTATGATTTTGAAGGAGTATTCTTACCACTGCCTGATTAACTTAATAAAAGGGAAATCTCTAGTCATATCACTAACTGAATGATGCACAGAAATTTTCCGAAGTATCCCCAGGCATTTTTGTTATGAGATAATTTGACATAAATCATCCCCCGCCCTGAATGACATTATTCTTTGAATTATTTCTCTGCAATAGTGTTAATAGAATAGCATTAATTCAGAGCTAACAGTTTCTGTGTTAACTAGAATTTTAATACCTAATCTAATACCTGTGTTTATCATATTCATTCTATCAGATCCATAGGAACATAAATTTTAGAAAATTCTCTTTTTCTTCAGTGCTTATTTGACTAAAATACTAATCTATCCATGTACCCATTCAGCAAATAATTATTGAATTGTTACATTGTGCCAGATACGGTTTTTGGCACTAAGAAAACAATATTCAATGTCCTCATGGGGCTTACATTGTTGGCGGTAGTGAGTGAAACATTCAAGTAAACAGTAATGCAGTTCATTGTGTATTAGGATAGAGGACTTGAGGAAGGAAATTGATTTCTTTGAGAAAATAAGACTACCTCTCTATGTGTCTTAGGCTGGGTTCTTTAGAGGAGCAAAACCACTGGAAAGTATATATATAGAGAGAGAGGGAGAGAGAAAGAGGTTTAATTGAAGGAAATAGTTCATGCAGTTGTAGAGTCTGGAAAGTCCCAAATCAGTGGGTCAGGTGTCAGACTGAAGACTTCTCATGAATCACATCATTGCAGGGGCTGACAAAATTGGCAGGTCAGACAACAGTCTGCTGCCTCACAGGGCTGCGGGAGCTGGCAAATCACAAAATCTTCAGGCTGCAGGTCAAGTGACAGGCTGCTGGCTCACATTCTAAGGCCCAAAGGTCAGATGATGACGAGTTGGATGCAGGATCCAGAGGGAGAGTGAGCCTTGCTGGAACATCCATTAATATACTGAAGGCAGGCCACACCCCCAAGGAAGCCCCCCTTTCACCTGATTGGCTGCTCATAGCAGATCTCATCATGGAGGTGATTACATTATATCAGATCTCATCGTGGACATGATTACATTATATTACATTATGAAAGAGTAATCAGTTCAGTGTCTGTCAAACCACTGAGAATCATAGCTTAGCTAAGTAGATGCATAACATTCACCATCACACTATGTCATCTTGTCCTGTTTCTATTTGTTTTTTTTCTTTTTCTATTTTTGTCTCTCTTTTTCTTTTTTTCACTCTCTCTGTTTCTTTCTTTTCTTCCTTCTTTCTAATATGCTGTGTGATAAATATCTTATGCATTCCTGTGGCTGGATATCAGCCAGCACTTTTTAAAAAAACCACATAAATCATGAGATGATATCTTACATGTGTCAAGGTACAGTCTAGATATAAGTATTTATTATATATTTATTACTATGATACTTAGGCATTTTGACATGAGTGCTATTTTATCATAATAAAAATATATCTAAGACAAGACTAGTAAAGAGGAGGTCTAGCAGATGTCCTGTGTTGCCCTTATTAAAACAGGTAGACATTATATTCTGACAAGCAAGACATGAATATAATTATGCTCAAATGTTGCATCAGAGCAAATGGGGAACTTTCATGATTTTTTGGAAGAGAATTTGACTCTTTATTTGAGTAATATCTGTTCTATTCTGTTTCTTGACATGATTTTCTAACATAAATATTACATATTCTCCACAACCCCTCATGATTCATACCACTCCCTGTCTCTAGCCACTCGTCCGCAGCAACCCAGAGAGTATATTCTTTTATGCCTGAGGTCACATGCAAACATAACATGCATAGATATGCATGTGTGTGTGTGTTCTTTTTTCCTTATAAAGTGTACCTGAAGGCAGGTCTAATAATACAGAATTCCAAAACTATTTTGTGTGCTATTGATAAAAGTGTATATTTTCCCAAGGAGATTAATTTGAAGAATAACAATTATATAGATGTGTATATTCAAAAAAGTTTACATATTTTTGTATCACACTTCCTATGTTCAAGTAAGTGAACACTTCATGTTAGCTTTCTTATAATAAGTGCAATTCTATGCATGGCTTACTTGTTGGCAGATTAAAAATTTAAGTATGTGAGGGCTATGTACCATTAGTTGCTTTTTTTTTGCACCTGTTTTTCCTAGTCTCTCTCTTTTTCCCCTACTTTTACTCACTGTGCTTCTTTCCAGCACTTTCTCTAAGATCATTTAAATAATACCAACTCTCTTTTACCTATGGGATTTACTATGAGCTGGGCACCATACACAGCATTCTTATTCATATTATTCCTCAATATTATCAACCCACTTTTTAAAAAAAATCAGGAAAAGTCATTTTAAAGTACTTAGGTAGGTGGACTAAGGTGACAGCAGTTGACAGAGCTGGAATTCCAACATTGCTTGTATGTCCCAAAAGCCTGTCCTTAACTACTGTTGCTTGTTTCACTGCTGTTTTTAGCACCAACAGGGAGGTAAGCTCTTCTGTATTTTACTTTTGCCAAAACGTAGAAAATTCACAGTTGAAATCAAAGCAAGAAACAAATATAGACCAGGTAGGTCATCTTATTGGTTTCAATTTGCCAGAATGAAGAAGTCCCTTACCCCAACCCCACTTCCCAACTTCCCATGCATTGCCCTCCATCCAGTTACTCACTCTGTACGTGAACCTGATGGTAGGGCATTCAGATAACCTGTTGGATTTCGAAGCTTTCCGAAGCAGTGCAGAGGCAACAACAGCCAGGCCCCATTTTGTTCCTTTCTCTCATGTTGTCATGTTGCCATTCTTTAGGTTGGACAGACATCTTCTCACAGGAGTCTACTGACTTCATCAAGTTCAGCTGAAATGCAAATGTTGGTATCTCATCTATGGGTGATTGGAAAATGCCTTTTTTCAGGTTTTGAAAAATGAATGAGTAGAAACTTGAACTGGGCTTTCACTTAGGAAAGAAGGCATTAGTGTTGTCAGGTTTAATTTTTTTCCATCCCTTTGACAGTTTGTTTCCAGGCATAGTCTTTTAATCACCAATTTAGAATTACATTTTGCCCATTAGATGGATGCTGTATCAAGAACTTTAGCAAGCATTGAAAGGCAGTCTTAATTTTACAACAGTGAAAAGCTTCCTAGATTATTTATCTATCTATAAAAGTTTATAAAAGAACTTTTGACTTTACCCTTAAATAGATGCTATTTCAAAATGATTAGCCCCATGTAAACAGATCCTTGTAGGTATGTATTGTCTTCCAAAAAAAAAAAAAAAAAAAACCACTTAAGCTGCAATACCAACTTACATCATCACAGAGAATTCATATAGAAGCATTTCACCATATAATTACAAGTTGATGGTTTATAATATACGGAAAATGGCTTGTTGCTTTATTATTAGATGTGATGAAATGCTGTGTTTGTAAAAGAAACTAAATGACCATTTCAGTGGATTAATGTGTAACTTTCACAAACATTCCCAGTGCTGCTTTCATAACTTGAAGACCAAGGGAAAGGACCTCGACCTTTTCTTTTCACTCTGCACTGTTAATCTAGTCAGAGACGCTTTTATTGAATGAAAAAAACAATAGTTGGACATGACTATGAGGTAAGAAAATAGGGGAAAGAAAAATATCTGGGGAATTAAACCATGTGAGTAGTTTGACTGATGTTGATTCCAGGCAGTTCAAAGGGAGAGGGAAGCTAAATAATTTGGTTGTTTCCCAACCTTGACAAATGGTTTCATTTGACAGAATGAAATAATTAAGTCTTGCTAAGGAATTTTTAATATAGCTAAGTGATTTGTAGACATGAAGACCGCCAATGTGTAACAGTCTCTTTGTTACAAATTTTGGTTGCTTGTTAAGTTCCTGACTTCAGTTCCTTTTTTTTTTTCCCCTGTATCTTTCTGCTAATTCTCTAAACACTTATGAAATCAGAGAGATTATAGTGACCCTGAAATGTCATCTGATCTAGACTATTCCCATTCCTTTAGGCAGAATTCTAGCCAGGGCCGTGTGCCCATATCCTACATGTACTATTAACGTAGTTGTATCAACCAGCGATAAAAACTCACTTCTAAAAAATAATTTCCTGGCCTGGAGTAATTGATGATGCTACACAAAGATTTGTTAATGAACAACAATTATGCTGCAAAAAGATAATTATAATCAAAGATGATTCTATATAATTCAAGCCTATACAAACTACAAAATCTAGACTAGCCTTTTCAGTAGAAGTTGCTGAGGTCCTGAACAATTATTCATTTTTTGTGTAACTTTAGTCAAGGTGTTCAACTTCTTTGTCTAAAAATTCTCTGGTCTTAAATCTTAGAGGCTTATGTTACTGCTAGTTGCCATGGAGTCAATTCCAACTCATGGCAACCCAATGTATAAAGAGTAGAACTGCTCCATAGGGTTTTCATGGCTGTGACCTTTTGGAAGCAGATCACTAAGTCTGTCTTCCAAGGTGCCTTTGGGTGGGTTTGAACCACCAACTTTTCGGCTAGTAGTCGGATGCTTAACTGTTTGCACCACCCAGGGACTCCTAGAGGCTTTCAGTGAAGATTAAATGAGAGAATACATCACAAAGTGCTTTGTAAACATGGCAAGTACTACTGAAATCTAACTCAGTATTTATATCCTTATATAGCATTACAGTTCTGTTTTCCTTATTCTGTTAATAAAAAATCAGTTGTCTGGAAGTACTAAACTATTTCCAAAACATATATTCCCCACTTGTCTAATTATTGCATCAAGCTACTTCATTGTATACCGAATCACTGAACTTCATTCCAGCTCTTTCATGTGTCTTTGTAGATTATCATGAAGAAGACCTTGTTTTCTCTTTGGAACAATATTAGTTAGTGATTGAATTTTTTATTGAGGTACAATTTACATACAGTAAAATTTATCCCTTTAGCTGTATACTTCAATGAGTTTTGACCAGTGTGTATCGTCATCTGTTTACAACAATCAAGATGTAGAATAATTCCACCACCTTCCATAATTCCCTGTGTTGCCCCTTTGAAGTCAATTCCTACCCCTACCCCTAGCCTCCGGCAAAGTAGTTGCAGTTTTGACCAAGTAGGGAACATAGAACATACCACAAGCTTGGGGGATGGTGTGTTTTAAAGGCATATAGACATCGGCCCTAAATGATCTAAACCATAGAATACTCAAGCAAGAAGGAACATAAGGGATTATTTTCAGAGGTCACAGCCTACAGTGCATGGACTGGACCCATCCTATGGACCTGGTATCTTAAAAAGCATTTGAATTAATGACCAATCTTTAAAAAGATAAAACTTTCAAATAAAAATCTGGTTTTCCAGCATTCTCTGAAAAATTGAGAAGTCTGGCCACACTGGGCCCACACTTCCACGTGACAGTTATCATCTGGGACTAACTCTTGGTTGCTCATTTTAAATGGGACTGGCACTGCTCTCCAGTTTACCAAAGCAAATGATTGATCAATGGGGAAGAAGGGAGAGGTTTACAAGTTGAGTGCCTGGAAGATCACTGGCTTTGAGCTACTGTCCATTCTGAGACCCACTCCCAAACCACCAAGGGTTTGCAAAGAAAATAAGGATGTCTTTCCTCTCTGTGCCTCTATTCTCTACTCTTAAGGAGAGGAGGAAAACTTTGCAAGAAAGTGTACTGTCAACTGAAGAGCTGAAAGACAATTAGAGGAAAAAAATAATATTATCTAGTATAAAGGGAAATAAAAATACATAGTGCTGTAAAAGAAGGAAAAGTGGCTCATTTGTGTTCGTTCAAAAAAAGTCCCTGAGAGTTCTTGTTACACTTTATTACTGAGGAATTTATGTTCTGAAAGGTCAATCTTCCTGCTTCCACTTTTGCCCACTTAAAATTTAGTCTTTTGTATCAGCCAGAGCAATCATTTACAAATGTAAATCAAAGCGTGTCATGTTACTATTGTTGTTAGTTGCCTCCCAGTCATTTGGACTCATGCAGCCTTAGATATAACAGAAAGAAGCATTGCCCTGTCCTGTGCCATCTCCATGATCTTTGATATGTTTGATCCCGTTTGTTGAGGCTATTAATCTGGCATACATAGGCTTGCTTAAAACTCCCCAGTTGCTCCCTGTTGTTTGCAGGATAAAATCCAAACATCTCTACATAGCCTACCAGACTGTCACTATCTGGCTCTTGCCCACTCACTGACTTCTTCTCCTACTCCCTTCTTTCACTTGCTGAGCTCCAGCCACGTTGGCCTCCTCACAGGTCTTTGGGGAATCTCATTCCACCTCCAGGAGTTGTGCCATGCTCGGCTCTGCGTGAAATGCTTTGCTCCCAGGTCTTCTCATGACTGGATGTTGTTGTGAAGAGTCTCCGTCACTCAGACCTCACCTCTTCAGAGCGGTCTTCTCTGCCCATCCAAACTAGAGTAGACACAAACACCCACTCCTCGCCCCTTTATTCTCTACCACATGAAGCTTCATTCTTCAGGTGTTTGTTGTCTGTCTCCCCCACTGAGAGATGGGATATTACCTAATTGACCATTATCTACCCAGGGCCTAGTGTAAGGTGAGTGCTCAATAAAAATTTGTTGAAGGAATGAAAGAGTGGGTGAGCAACTTACTTGTCAGCTGGGAGGAGGAATTTTTCAGTCTGCTTTCCAGAAGGGAACAATTAATTTAAGTTGTAGAAATATTAGGAAGTTTTGCAAGCCGGCAAAATGATGTTTTAATTGGAGGCATTGTTTTGGACAATCATTTGGAGTTAAAAAGATAAGTATTTATTAAGGATTCACTTGGTCCCTAGCCTAATTTTATTTATACTTGTTTAATATTGGTAAGAAATAATGTTTTCCAATTTAGACTTTTATGTGAAAAATGAACCAGTATTTATAAAATCTTTCTTCTCACTATTTAATTTTGATTTTTCTGATTATTTCCCTAAAATTCACAGAAGCAACATGACATGTGATATTTTAACTTGAGGCCGGAGTTCTCCAAGTAGACCTCTCGGTTTGAAAGCCCTCCAAACTCTGCATGTTGTTTTTGAGAACAGTTGGTACATACCTAATCTATTTCTGAATCGATACAAAATTTTATCATTATTTTTAAATCTAGTTTCCTTGGAGCTTTTTCAAAAGAAAAATTTTACGTTTATATGAAAAAAATGTTTTTGTGATTCTTCAAGTAAAATCTGTCTTAAAATCTGAGGCAAAATAAAAAATGATGAGTTTAAAGTCATTTTGCATAGTTCAATAATCACATTCAAACACTTGTACTTACTTGTTTGCTGACAATTTCAGAAACGGAAATGACTACCAGAAATGGATTTACTCCTTGTGTGTTTCTAAGGTCCTATTCATAGTCAGCATTCGATATCTGAACATGAAGAAGTTCCAAAAGAATGGAAAGTTTAGAATTTAAGGATATTGTACTTAAAAGCGCTCATTCTTCTATTGACTTAGATCAAACAATATCAAGATTAGCAGCACCACCTTTAAATATTATTTAATGAGTGTTACATTCTTTGCTAATAGACTGTCTGATGTTTAACATGGAATGCAGAACACTGAAATTATGGACTTGCTATAATTATGATCCTAGCAGAGATCGATAAGAATCAAATAATTTAGTTGAAATATTTAAAAGTATTAGAAGTTTGGATAAATGATCCTGCTCCCTTGCCCATAGGTTATCTGTGTGTATTTACATGTGTGCATTACAAACCCAGAATGGTCGTAGACTGCCTGAAGCATTCTTTGTGTTCGGCACAATCGCTGTACAGTAGCATAAAGCATAGAGACACACTGACAGATGAGTAAGAGCACAGATAAAAGGAGGAGACGCTGTGCAGTCGTTCTCTTCATCTCGGCTGG